CTATGAATTCTGTTAGATAGAAGAAAAGGGTCAGTCTGCATTGCGTAAAAAAAAGAAAAAATTAACCCTAAACTAATCTAAAATAATTTAGAACTACTGTTAAAAATGCAAAAGTGGTTTGCCTTGCCGAATTTCAATTCATTTTATGAAGTGTCCCAAAACATGTCTATTTTTTAAGCTCGTCAAATACATAATGATAATTTCAAGTGATCCTCCATTTAAAGAGGGCCATGCTCGATTCCCAATAATAACGTGCATACCTTTATCTGATTGATGATTTGAAAATTAGGAGTGTTTTCCTATCTTGTATCTTGCAAAAAATAAATATGATAAATCATTTTCTTGGAAATGTCATGCTAAATTCAGATTCGAAAACCATTTTTAAATATATTAAAATCTAAAGAAGTTATGGCCCAATAACTGTACTAAATTCCGGTTTTTAAACTTTTTAATGTTTTTGATGAGTTTTTTAGCTCTGACTCTCTCAATTTTCAATTTTTTTAAACGCTTTTCAGATTTGAATTTAGCATTGAATTTCCAAGAAAATGATGTATAACATGAAAATAAAAATAAATTTTTTTTTGTGGCCTAACGGTGAAAACGCAGCGACTTCCGGTGGGCGGTTGGCTCTATTCCAATATTGATCACCCCTACTGGACATGCCACTCCATAAATGAAAGGTCACTTGAAATTACGTCTCTAGTCCCTTAAAGACACACTTTGAGTTGAAAGTCTAATGCTAAAAACTTTCATTTACAAATTTTAAAAATCGTTAAACATAATAATATTATAACATCTTTATATTGCATAACGCATATTCTTCTACACATTCTCAAAAAAAGGTTAACAATACAACAACAACATACAGGGTGAGTAAAAAAAATGTAATTATCACGGAAAAAATCTTTCAATGCTTTTATTTAGAAACAATATTATCTTAACCCTATCTCTGCTGGGGTACTTGAAAACCAGGATATGCCAGTTATATAGTAAAAATGTTTGCAAAAAAAAATTTGTCCAAAAAATGACAAATTATACATTTTTGAAAAGCCCTTGACCATGCCATTTCAAATATGCAAAAATTTTTGCAAAATTTTAAATAACCTGATTTTTAATCAAGAAAAACTAAAAATGTGCAAATTTTCTTTGACAGGTTGTTTGCAAAAAATTTGCAATTTTTTTTTTGAAAAACTTGTGCAATCTGTTTCCTTATGTCATAGGCTTTCCAAAAAGCTACATTTTATCAAAATCTGACAAGTGAAAGTGGGTCAAAACAAAGATTTAGTTTGTTACAGGAAAAAGCAGTCATTCAGGCAGTGTGCCTGAGGAGTCAGGCAGTTAGTATTAAAGCCCGGTTTTAGGCCTAAAGGGAGGGCTTTGGGTATGTAGGAAAAGTCAGAAAATTTCAACAGCCTCAGAACAATACTTTTTGAGTTATGTTAAAAAAACTACAGGGGGGGGGGTCAAATTGAACCCCCCCCCCCCCAGCAGGAATAGGGTTAATAAAGTGTAACGTTAGAAACATTAAGGCTTGAACATTTTAATACAACGCAAAGTATAGAACATTTTTTCAAATCTTTCTGAGAAACGAAACGAATAAACAGTTTTGATTGTCAGTTGTAAAAAAGTGTAACAAAAAAGTTTTCACAATAACGTTTCGATAAATCCTAACGTAAGAAAAGGTGCATTTTAGTAAAATTTCTAAACGTAATTAAAAGAGTATATATTGGAAAAGTTAAGATAAAACGTAACGTTAACAAAAGATATTCTTTGCACTGAAATGCATTGTAAAGTACAGAATTATGCCCCGATGACATTTTATTAAAGCAAAACGTTTGTCATCTTTTAGATTTTAAGCCAAGTGAAAGTGTAACGTAAGGTCTCTGAAAATATTTACCTTGCATGAAAGTGGAACGTTAAAAAATTGTGGTTATATTACATAAGCTTTAACGCAACGTTGGGAAAGTTTTTTAAAACATCAGATGCAAAAGCGTAACGGAGCTTACTGTTTTTTCACAACATTTACTAAAGCTTAACGTTGTATTAGGTATTCAAGTGCAGAAAATTCATTACGTAACGTTACTCTATGCCATAAAATTTCATAATGTGCAACAGAACGTTTCAAACGTTAATACTTTTGATGAACACTATCGTAACGAAAGCTAAAATCTAGAAAAATCAAAATGTTGATATCTTTATTACAAACTCAAAATGTTTTTATCAAAATTTAAAGGTTTCCTCCATCTATTCTCAGCGTTTAAGGTTGTGAACACAGAAGTCGACATTTAAAAACATCAAAAAACAAATTTTTTTTTTTTTTTTTATAAAAGTTTGATGCAATTTTAAGCAGAAAAAAAAGAAGTTCACTGTTTTTAAAAATCCATTCCGTTTTCTATTTCAACCATTAATTTTTTTTCAAAAATGCTTTTGTTAATGGTTTAAAGATTAATGGTTTTCGCCGTTAGTTAATGGATTCTCCCATTAAATTTTGAAAACCTCTGTTCCGTTAAAGAAACTTTGCCAAGCCATAGCTAAAACTCATTAAATTTGGTCCTTGAACATTCAATTTAAACCTTTCTTTATACTGGTCTCATTGTTTTTTTTTCAGATTTGGATTAAAAGTTGTTGAGGATTTGCAATGCTTAAGAAGTGTTTTGTTGTTCTTTGTTTGATTTGTGTAGCATTTATTATATATAATTGCTTTCTTAAATATACCAGGAAAAATAAGCAGTTAGAATTCATGAAAAATATAAAACATTGAATCATTATTTAAAATTAATTAAAGATTTTTTAAGATTGAGCACAATTAACACATTCCCTGATATATTTAAGAAGAATATCAAATTCCCAACTCATTCCCAAAATGTCAAAAAGTGAACCATTGGGCACTTGACAGTTTCAAATCCAATATGGCCATATTATTATGTTTCAAACATTAAAATATAAACATTTCCCCTCTATTGTATGGCCTGTTAAATATATACATTTATAATGCATATAGTCCACTCACTTGACTTATGTACATTTGAATCTAAGCGGAATCAACCTGAACAGTCTTGCTTTGTACTGCCCCGCCCAGTACACCAATTACACTGGCAAACATACAGCAGGGGTCATTAAAGTTGGCCTAGCTCCTAGGCAGGGCTAACTGGTGCAGCTAAAGCAGCAATTTTTCATGCCTAGCTTTAGAATGAAATGTGTTCAGTCATGCAGGACAGTAACCTTGTCAGCAATGATCATGAAGTGGATTAGAATTAAAGTAATTTGGTCAGAAATTAATGTGCCGTGGGCGTCAAGATATATTGTCAGTAATGGTATGTTAAAATAAATTGAGGATTTAATTCTGTGAAAATCAATTTCCCCCCCCTTTAAAACCAGTTACTTCTTGATTCTTTTGTCCATAATCTGTTAATTCTTTTGCTAAGAACCAAAATTAATTTTTCTTCTTATTTTTATTTATCAAACTGAAATATTTCTTTATAGAGATGAATCAGTTTCCTTCATAAGGTAGTTTTTTTTTCTTTATAATTATTGGAAAATACAGTATTTTACAGAATACAGAAGAATTAATCATATTAATCTTCTTTCTTTCTTTCCATCTTGGAAAAGACATTATTGTTAAGAATTTAGTAATTTATAATTGTAATCAAAGATAGATATATGTCAAAAAATATTCAAAGTATATTTTAAGTATAAAATAAGTTCAAGAACAAATTCAATAGGGACTTTTTGCAAAAAAGAAAAAAAATATGATGACAGCTATTCCACTATTTTCATTTAACAGTGATAAATTGTAATCGTATGAAGTATTTTCTAAAACTATATCTTTTTTGTAAGATTCTTTAAGTAAGGGTTGTTTTAATGTTTATTTAGCACTAGCAATATAAAATGCCCACTTTGTCATTGTTGTTTTCGAATTAGAAACTTTTCCAAGAATAGTTTGAAATTAAAAACATTGTCTGTGATACATCAAACATAATGATTACAATTTACAAAATCTTTATCTTCAATTAAAAAATTTAAATTTAGATTACTTTCATTCCACGTTAAACTGATATTGACTAGAGTAAAAACACATCTTTTCATCTGAGATTTTTTTTTAATATAATTAAGCAAGGAAATATATGGGGATACTCCTGGTGTACAACCCACTGTTGTATTCTGTTTCAGCAATCCATTCATCTTTGAGGGACAAAACATTATCAAAAAATGTCTTTTTGAAGTTTAATTGTTATTCTATGGGTAACGCTAGACATATGGAAAAGTTGGTTCATCAGCCTTGGCTGGGTATTAATAGTTATTGTTTTTGGATTGTTGTTAGACTATTTTTACTGTTTATATGTAAGATTGATCAAAAAGATAGGTGCCCTTGAAAAATCTATACAGTAGCTATAATACAAACTTGCACAATTAAAGAACAGAAAACCTTTATGAGACCAGGGAAATATCCCTTCGTCATTTGTAGATTTACAACATATTTGTAAATTTATATTAATAAACTCTTATTTTTTAAAAACTCGAGAAAATACATTGAAAATGAAAAAAATGTCAAATATTTTAAATGATTATCACATATTGATTCTATTGTAAAATCATCAAATATTTTAAAATCTAACATAGCTTTTTTTACTTTTTGAGATCTGTGTTGAACTTGGTTACATCATGGAAATAAAACTTGCAAAAACAAATTGTTCACCCATATTTTGGCCATTTTGACAATTAAAGGACTTTATTAATAATTTACCAGATTTTTTCCATCTTCAAACTTTGCCAACACTTTGTTGAAAAACTCAACTTTTTATTAGTGTTAAGTCCAAGTTATGTCAAGACCGGTGTTTAAAAGTTGTTCACCCTGGACTAATTAGGGCGAGATGCTTTCAGTTTCTTCTATTTTCTCAACATTTAACAATGTTGGGTCAGAAAAGAAAAGCTCATTTGACATCACTGGTACAACTTTGTAACCTCAAATGCTTTTCTAGTTTTGATTTTACGTACTCAAATGAGAAAAACAAATTTATTCAGTTACTAATATCTAATCAATATACACATTATATATGATTGTTTGTGTTGAAGAATTTCACAGATCACCCTCAAGCCACTCCATACTATGGACAAGATTATGATAACATCACATACAATTTAGGTATGTCAACAATCTTAGATTACATATTTTGCAGAAACCAAAATAAAATATCCTTTTTATCAGGCGAAAAGAGCAATGTTAAAAAAATATCAATTGAACTTCTTGGCATAATTTCTATGTCAGCGGATCATGAAGAAGTGGATAGTTTCAAAGGTTTGGTCATTGTTAATTAAAAATAGTTAACTAAAAATGGATGAACGAATACACTTTTGATATCTATGCTTATTAGGAGCTGTAAAAAACATGTCTTGGTTTGCTTTGAAGAATAAAAAATGCTTCATATATGATGAACTGATATCGCTGAATGTCAAAGAGGCCACATTCCAAATTACATACTATGTTCCAGAAGAGAAGAATGAATCTATTAGCATATGCCTAGGGTTCCCTGGTTATGAATATAGATGTTTGGAAACTAAGTATCACCTGAAAATAGTACAACTAAAGTATCCAGAGACCTATATTTGGATAGATGACATTAATATGCTGATCATGAAAAACCGTAACACAAAAAGGAATCCTTGTATCCACGAGAAGTACAATGATAAATTAAAGGAGCTTATTTTTAAATTAACATTTTATTCCAATGCTTCCTGAGTTTTTAACTAACTTTTTTAGACCTTGATGATCCAGAAGTTTGGATGTGAGCCACCTTACTTCAATACAAAAACATCTATACCTTGCAACACAGGAGTGCTCAACGCAATAGGTATTTTATACAGAACTATATGTAGTTAACAGTTATTCATTTTAAATTTGTTTTTTGACAATTTTGTATACAGTTCAATATGTAAATAAAAAAAGAAAAAAACATGAAACTAAGGAAAGTTCTAGGTTGGAAACCTATCTTTCCTGACAACTAATTTTCTATAAATAAGTCCACAAACACATATCCAAACAAAGATCACCACTAGATAAAAATAGATAACTAGGCTTCCATAGCAATATGCGTTCCACTTATTGTATTTAATTTAGGAATTATTGTTGCTTTTCAAGCCACTATTACTTCTTTATAATTCAAAATCTCAAATGTTTGCACATTTTTCTGGAAGCATTAAAAGATTTCTAAAATCCCCCCAAAAGAATTCCAGGCAAAAGTTTTCAGTTTCAAGACAAGCCATTAACCTACCTTTGGTCAATCATGTGAGATGTCACATAATAATTGGTTCGACTGAAAAATAATAATTATTTCCAAAATTTAAAATATGTATTGTATATACTGTATACTGCGTTTTAAGTCTTTACGCCTTTGACCTATGTATTGTACTTTATATACATATGCTTGTAAAGCTATCTACAAAATCAAAAACGGCTGAAATAAGTACACCTTTTAGCTTTTATTTTTCATGATTATTGAAACATCTTTGAGCGGAAAGATTGACTTTGTTGTATTCCTTATCCTAATCCCATAATTAGGGATATGAGGAGTATTTATAATAGATATTAAAATATCTCATTTATGTTTAGCACATATGTTTATTGGAAAAGCTTTTGAACAGATCTACACCCCTCCGTGTACTGCAGGAGAGTTTACATTTAAGGAGACAGTTATCGAGAAGTCTAAAGGGAATGAAACCCTAACTGGAGAAAATGGAGCAGTATATACCAAGAGGAGAGTTCTTATTCGTCTTCAATATTCAGAAAAATACCAGATTATAGAGCAAACTCAAGCATATACAGGTAAATTGATTGTTGATTAAATTACTTTTCCTTGTTAGGTAAATTAATTTTAGGTGAACCCCAGCGGCACTTTCCCAATGGGGCATTCCAAAGTGACAATATACCAAGAGCAACTTCACAAATGTGCGATTTACCTAGCCAAAAACTTCCAAAAGGTTAGGTTAGGCCTTTGCCCTTTAAAGGCACTGCTGGCTGCAACAGGGGGACCGAGTGCTGTGATTAGGATTGGCTACAGAACTGGGTGCTTCGGCTAGAACAGGCTAGGACAGACTTGAGAAGTTGCTGCTTGAGAAATTACACAGTTGGGAACTTGCCACTTGGAAAAGTATTGTTTGGAAGGAAAGACTATTTGTTTGCATATCTTCTATTTGAAAATTGTGGTTGTTCAATTTAAGTGACTTAAAGATTTAGTCATAGAAAATAAAAATAAGATTGACAGAATTCAATCTAATTTTAAGATATCTTTGCCATTCTTGCTAATATAAAGGTTTTTAGGGTACTTTTGTAATTCAGGCCTGCAAATCATTAAATGATTAATCAAAATTATGTATGCTGTCAATTAGCAGTACCCTTGATCCCTATAAAGCTATATTTATGCTTAGAATTGTCTTTGTTTGCTGAGATTGCTGGATATCTTGGGATATTTCTTGGTATTTCTTTTCTTCAACTAGTTGATTTCTTTATATATCTTCACAATATTATAACTCATGGATCTTAAAACTAAAAAATAAATGATTATTAAAAAAAAATTAAATTAACAGTTAGAATTAGGGTTTTTATATAAGACGTAAAGAGATAAGGAGATCAATAATCTGGTGCCAAGATCAAAGTAAAGAGCATTTAGTGAACTTTAAATAGTAAACAAAATGTTAGTACCATCTGTGTTCTTTATACAAATCAAAATGTAGAATATATGCACAATAATAGGCAGTAGATCGTCAGATAATCATGATAAATAAAACTAACCAAGGAGCATTATTATGACAGTAGGCATACTTTATAAAGACTCTAGAGTGGCCTGTATGATTCACAACAGTACCCTTTAAACATTTGACTGATCAAGTTAATCTTTAGTAACACTTGTGATTGTTAAACACGTTGTTTACAAGCTATTATAATTCAAAATATTGATATTTACTCTCTAGACATGAGACAGAAAAAATTCTTTGATTTAAACGAAAAAAATCAGTAATGTCAGCTGGGAATGAGCTATGTGTTCACACAGTCTGTATGTAATTTTAAAAGCAAGAAAATGGCAGACTACATTTTGGAAATGCCATGACCAGGGGTATTTTGTGCTTGGCAATTCAAGAGTGTTGCTTCTAATATTAGTTTGAATAATGAATCCAGCAACTTATATGGTTTCTAAAAATACGATTATATGGTTGCTAAAAATTTAAAAATTGGTTTCCTCACTCCTTTATTGTTTTATCATTATTGACATGAAGGCTGTAGGTTAAACCAAATTTTATTTGTGAATGCATTATGGAAGTCCGTTCAGAAAAAAGTGACGGATGAACTGTTTTGTGGAATCTGTATTTTCAGACCTTCAGAAAATCTTCACAGTTCAAAATATATCTCTTTTTTCAAGCTCAAATTCTTCTTTTTCCAAAAAGCATCTGTTTTGTTTAGTTTTTAAAATTTATTTTTGTCACTTCATCTTTTATTTGCTGGCATCTACTAGATTTATTTTATTATATATATTTTATTTTTTTAAAAATATGCAAGATGTCATCTTTTATTACGTGGAAATCAAGGAAACAGGGTCCCCTTAACCATGCCAACCCTCCACTAAGTTTGTTTTATAATGCTTAAAGGGAGTGACCGGCTATGTAAGATAGTCGAACTGAGCATGCAGTGTTGTGGAAAACTTTTTACGGATTCATTTGAAGCATATTAAACTTTAAGTTTGTGCGCAAATTAGACGTTCAAAACTCCTACTTCGGGGGTGGATACGTTTTCAGAATTAGTTTCTTTTTAATTATTATTAAATAACGAAAACGAAAAATAAAGTAAGTATTATACAGTAATCTAACTAGATGGCTAGGAACTTTTGTTCTGAATTATGGAACCCCTAGATGGGTAAAAAGGGTAACTGGAGCATCAGACTCTGTTACATCTGGATGGGTTACAACCTAATTTACATTTACAAAAATATTTTTATAAATAAAATTATCAAGAGTCAGAACCAGAAAAATGTGAAACAGGAGGACAACATTAAAGCAATAATTAACTGTATTTTACATTGTTACAAATCCAATGGTTTCAAAAGTAACTTATTAAATCACCTATAAAGCGAGATGTGTCTGTTTACACTGCACAATTACTGTGTCTCATGTTCAATGGATGATTTTAAGTCATAAATTGAGTCTAAAGGTCGTCTTTTTTTCTAGAGTTTCCGAACAGAATTTGTATCAGTCCAATGTCGCTTCATTCACTGCAGTCCTAATAGCCCTATATAATTTCTTGATTTATCAATTTTAAATGAACTTAATGATAAAGTAATGGACACTAAAAGACGACTTTGAAGTAAGTCATCGTGCAGAAAATGGTTTCAAATCACAGATCAGTACCTGATCTGTGATTTCCATACCAAACGTTCATAGACACAGCTTGTCACACAATCTATTTATAAATATAAGGGAACTGAACGTGAAAAATTATTAAATAATCTTACATCCCAATACCAATAGTTGAATTTTTATCATCTTATTTGTTTTGGATAGTACAAATTATTTTAAGAATAGAATTTTCAGTTTTTTATCACTGAGATAATATTAAATTAGAAAGTTTCGAGACACCTGGCGGCCAAATATTGAACTTCATATTCAGAGACAGCTGTAGGGACAGTATCACCCACTCTTAATAATATGTAGGATTCAACAAGGAAGAGGAGGTAGCTTCTGCCTCCTTTGTAATTAGGTTTTTAAGAAAAGAAATGACTAATTTAAGTTATACCACATTTTCTGCCTCCCTGCCAAACCAGTTCCTATAGATATCACGTCATGAAATGTCCAAAATATCTTTGAAAATTCCAAGGNAATTTAATATTATAGCACTATGATTACTTTTTAGCCAGGTGCCAAAATATACAGCTAATTTAATATTATAGCACTATGATTACTTTTTAGCCAGGTGCCATAAGATACAGCTAATTTAATATTATAGCACTATGATTACTTTTTAGCACGGTGCCAAAATATACAGCTAATTTAATATTATAGCACTATAATTACTTTTCAGCACGGTGCCAAAATATACAGCTAATTTAATATTTTAGCACTATAATTACTTTTTAGCACGGTGCCAAAATATACAGCTAATTTAATTTTATAGCACTATGATTAATTTTTAGCCAGGTGCCAAAATATACAGCTAATTTAATATTATAGCACTATGATTACTTTTTAGCGAGGTGCCAAAATATACAGCTAATTTAATATTTAAATTTTTTAACATCTTTAACGAAATTTACCAAGAAGTGAGCATGCATAATAAATTATACAAAACATTTATATCATTATTTTATATCATTATTAATTTGATGATATAGTTTATGTAATTAATCTAGAATATAAGAAAACAAAACAAAAAAACAATGTTAGAACCAAACAAACCTGTGTGAAATGATTTTGACTAATCTAGGATGACCGACCTGCAATCCTTTAATCTTTGACGCTTCAGAAAAATTGTACGCTATAGCGTACACTTTACAGAAAGGAATTGATTTTCTCATCTCTACGTCTTTGCAATCTATTCATGTAAACCTTTGATATTTCAAACTTTGGGTTCCATTAAATGGATGATCTAAGTTTGAATTATCAAAGGTTTACACTAAAAGGTTGCAAAGATATAGGATTATATGACTCATGGCGACCACTCAATTCCTTTGAACATCACTATGAGTGATAACCACATGGAGGTCTCTGCCGTTGGTGATGAGAAAGGTTTAAAAGTATTCATTTTATAATTGAAATCAAACATTCTCATTTTTTTACATATAACTGTCGAACACGAAGACGCATTTAACTAGAACATAATACAGAATTTAGTTGTAAGAGGCCAGGGGTTGTCAGCCTCTGTCTTATCAACCTCAGCTTTGAATTTCGGATCCCCACGCAAGAAATATTCATCCTATAATAAATGGGTTTTAAAATATCAGAATTATAAAAGAAAATATATACAATACTGAATGTCGGCCTTTCTCTTGATTTAAAACGCAACAGGCTTTTTTCGTCCTAGCACTCTCATTTTTAACACTATCGCCATAACATTGTGTGACTTTTAATAAATCTAGAATTATTTAAAGGATTTTTTGTAAAATAAATTTTCTTTTTAAATGCATAGGGTAAGGTAGAGGACGGTTAAACGTCCGATCTGTGTAAAAACAAAATCTTAAATAGCCTTTTTTGTGACTAAAGACTATATTTTTGAAAAGTCCTTGGAAAATGAATGTAGAAACATGTGTCACGCTTAAATATTTGTGTAAAAAAAATTACATTTTTTTACCCTTTTTTTGGCATTTTTTCAACGCTCCCTAGCACCCAAACTATTAAAGTTATTTCAAACCTATAACTAAGGTTAAATTATCAACAACAAAAAAAAATACAATGAGAGTCGTAAAACTGTGGAATTGGAAGACGACATTTATACAAAAGTTACAAATTTTAAATAATCCAATGAATAGAAAACTTAGCCTTATGTACAGTGCAGTTAGTACAGTCTACAGACATATTGATAAGATTGATAAAATGTCGTCTTCTGATTCTATAGTTTTACAGATATCATTGTATATTTCGTGATGCTGCAGGAGAAAAGGGTGTTTACTAACCGACATATTTTCTGCAATGTATTCCATCAGATCTTTGATGGATTCAGATGTTTTGGTTCTCTTTAGCTCCAGCTCTTTACGTAACTAGATAAAAAACAAGTTTTAAATAAAAAATCATCCAAAAGAAACTGATTTTTTGCCACAAAATCAAATATTCTAATGCCTATATCTTTGTCACCTGAAAGTGTAAACCTTTGGCATTTAATATTTAGATAATATGATACAATAGAATTCATAGTTTGAAATATCTAAAGTCTACAACATCGTGTTGCTGAGATACATATATTATTTGCTCTATGTTTGTCTACAGTCCCTCACTCTAAACTACTGCAGAAGGTCAAAGGAATTGAGTTTTGCCACAAATTATGATTTTATAATCGCTATATCCTTTCAACCTGATGGTGTAAACCTTTGATATTTTAAATTATCATTTTTGATCTAAAATGATTCATAGTTTGAAATATCTCCGGATTCCGACATTCAAATGCAAAGATATAGGAATAAGAAAATCAGAGTTTGTGACAAAAACTCAATTCCTTTCTGCGACATTACTGATTACGAATTCCTGACCACATACTTCCTCTAGTTTTAATATTCTAAGCACAGTTGTCCGGTTACATGATTGAAAATTGAAAATATTTTGTTTTTCTTCATACACAGACTGCTCATACACTCTATACCTGGATAGGCTGAGCAGGCCTATAGTGTCCCGGCACGCCATGCTACGGTTCCATATGTAATGTTTTTTGACTGACATTCAATAATTGAATTTTACAACTTTTAAAGAAATACTCCAATTTTAAACATAAAACAAAGCGTTTATGAATATAGTCTAATTTTAAATATTTTGCATTTCCTATTCAAAGGATCCTTAAATATCCCTGAATACAGATGTCTCCTGATTGGTCGTGTACAGTACACAATAGAACATGCTGTGGAAAATATCGCATATTATAGCTGATAATCAATCTCTGTAACTCTCTTATCTCTGGTTTAAATATATAAATCAATTCTTTACCTGCTCGACACGTTTCTTTTCTTCAGCTATATCTTTCCCCTTAGCAACCATTTTTATGTTAAATTTAAATCTGGAGAAAAAAAATTACGTTTTTACAAAAGTTCTTAGAAATAACAAACTTTTCCAGAATTTTTCATTAGAATGTAATATATGTTCTTAAGCAAAAAAAATGGTCAAACTAGTAATTTAGTATGCAAGATCTCTTCTGCAATTATTTAATAGTTTTCTAGTTCTTCTTCTATTCGTAAAATGTTTCATTTTTAACCAATAATACAATAATAATTTAGTAAATATTATTAGCAACTACATACTTTAAGTTGAGATTTTGAAAGTTTATAGATTTTCCCCGAAAACATAAGATCAAGGAAAAATAAGATTTTTTAAAATTTGCTGAAAGTTAAGTGTGTACGACTTTTTCATTTTTTTCGTTTATCGTTGTGAACGACCCATTTCGTTCATTTTTTTCAATCATTCGTATTATCATTAAACAATCGTTCAGAAAAATTGTTCGTTCATTGAAATCTTTTGTTTAGTTAAAACAATTTGTTAAAAAAAATCGTATTTGTCGTTTTTAAAAGGCGGTATTTTTCAATCTCTCTGAATGATCCTTTTTGATAGTCCAACATTCGTTTTTTTTCTAAAAGACACCATCATTTGAGAAAAAAATTTGTTCTTCAAAATTTCGTTTTTTCACAGTCTGTAGTAAATACCCTACTCCAGAACGGGTTCTCTAACACGTATCTATCCAGGTACAGTTCAGTTTCTCTTAGCTATCAATATTTAAACCTCGATACCATACCATCTGGTAAACTCTCAATGCCAACCATAAACTCTTAATCTATCAAGTGTAGTGTATTTTTGGTTTACATGTTACAAGTTAGAGTTAATAGACGTAATTACAATTCCTATGTCGTTATCTATATCACATGATTAAGGCAATCATATTAAGTATAAAAGCACAATAGAAATCGGCGCAATTAAGATGTAGGTCATTATTTATCCCATGATTTACGCTAATCATATTCAACTAAAACACAGTTTCAATGATGAATAATGATTTTACTTACAAGTTTACAAACATAGATTGTTAATTATATACAACGTACTGCAGGTTTATGCTACCCAATATTTGCTACATATCGACTAAATATATTTAGAATCCCTATCATACTAACAGAAATAGAAACAAATATATACGGAAGTATTGTTATCAAGTTTGATAACAGCTATAGGGCTAAATGCAAAAGAGGTTGGGGGGGGGGGTTCCTTGAAAAGGTTAAGAAGGAGGGGGAAGGGAGGGGGGCAATCAAGGCCACAACTTTAAAATGGCTTACAATAGAGCACTTAAACTATATAGATGCAAACATTTTTTGCATACTTTGATGATGCATAGGTCATGGTAGAACGGTCAAACGGCAGATCGTAATTTTTGTCAAAAAAAAGTTATATTTGTTAATTTTTTGTAGAACACACTGTATATATTCATGCTGTTAAAATATCAAAGTTATGTTATTATTACTTATTGATAATTTTTCAGTGAACCCTCTTAAAAGTTTGGAATAGAAAGACGACATTTCATCTATCTTATGTGTATTTGATGTCATTAAAAAGAACCTAGTTTTACCAGCAAATTAAAAATTAACCATTGGATGTAAACCAGCAATATGACTGTGTTAATCATGTATATTTTCATTGAACTACAGGGTGTCCCAATAAACATGGGAATTCAGTGACGAATTCGATATCGTCTTTTTAAACAATTCTTTGATTTAGTATAGTGATACCTACTGAGAAAGCTGTAATCTGTAAGAGTTTTGTCTGCTATGTTTACAATTTGTTTGTTTATGTTTTGACAGCAAACGGTTGTACTTAGTAAATCAAGAAAATTGCAGAATACTAACAGAGTAAACTTGTCCTTCATCACTGTTCATGCATAGACATTATCGACACATCTTTACAGCCATTTACCGTTTTCATTAAATAAACTCTAGCAAACATAATAATAGTATGGCTTTTGAAATTAGGTATTACAATTGCATTAATGCTAATTCATAACAAAGACGATATCGAATTCGTCCCTGAATTCCCATTTGGACACCCTGTATTTTAAATTAAAACTTGAGTTATAACAGTCACTTTCCTCTTTCACAGTTTTATTGTTCATACTGCATTGGTTGCATTATCA